ACTTATACTTTAGTATTATTATAATGATTAGCTTTAAAATAATATTATCTATATTATTCACGTGGTTCAATAGTTCATAATCAGTTGTGTTCGTGAACTCGTAATCGCGTGCAGGTCTATGATAGTCGGAGCTCATCTCCCGTACGACTTCGCAAATTCACCGAGCAGATAAGACTGGGTTTTACACAAACAGAATAAATATAACCGGGAGGTGAGATACGCGTTGCAGAAATGACGCTGTCAGCGGGGTCAGGGTTGGCAAAGTTGATTTTGCATAAGTGATGCCGGTTAACGATTATATCAATCGTGGTATCGTTTACTTGGAAGTATCAAAAAATTCGCTAAAAATTGCAGAATGTTGTCGAAACGAAGAACATCGCGGTTTCCCCATTCGTGAACTTCTCTCCTTCAAACATTTATAGAAATATAGGAAGAAAATACGTATTCGCAATGTGAAGACGATACGAGATGCAAGATTTACTCATTTCTAAACCCAACGATTTCAATTTCGCTTTAAATTTTGAAACTGCTACATAAAGATTTCCGAATAAGGTAAAATATTCCTATTGCGATTGTCTAAATTTTTTCAATTCGTATGTTCTCCATGGTTTTTCCGAGGCTCAGTAATTTTCGAGTGTTCTCCACAGGATCCACGACGCACACGTCCGATTTTGACGTACGTGACGTAGGTTGCATAATGGAGGAGAGGCCACACGACTTGTCGATTAATCGCTCACTTTCCTCGAAACAACACGGCCGGAGTGGGCGGGCGGATATACGATATTGACGTTGTATCTAATCTTTGCGGTTGAAACGTACGCAATGCGACGAATAAATACTGTATCCCAGAAGGGGGGTACCTTCGATTACGTATCGACGTATCGGCTATTAATACCGGTTCGTTCGGTTAGTGCCATCCGGAGCCTCCGATCGCTCGACAATAAACCATCGCCTTTCCACGAAAAGATCCAGAAAGATCGCGCAGAGTGAGGAACACTTATCGTACGTTCTATTTCTTATCTCTCTCTCTCTCTCTCTCTCTCTCTCTCTCTCTCTCTTTCTCCTTTTCCTATTTTTTTCCCCTGACAGTCGATATCTCTTGTTAATGATTGGTATTCTCTTCCCGTGGCGCATCATCCTCGACGAAGGAAATCAAAAATCGAGAGGGAACATGCGGTTGCAATGGCCGGCGTTTCTGCTCCTCTGCGCCGTTTCGCTCGCAATGGCACAGGAAGTCGACCAGTGTCGACAGGGAGTCGACGATGAGCTGATCTGGGATTATAACGTCAGAAGACCGCTCCGAATGGGTGATTACCAAGTGCGTCCACGTTCGCATCGCGAAATCCAAGAGTCACGCGGATTCGACTCCGTGATTCATCTGTTTTTTTGTTTTGTTTTTTTTTCCATTACGCATCTCACAAAGATTTTTCGATTGTAACTAGGAGGTAGAGACGGATTACGGGCCGACCGACGTAAGAATCACGTGCATATGGCTGAACTCGCTGTCCGAAAATAATGATGGGGCGTGGATCACCGCCGGTGGAATCGGCTACAACTTCGTCAAACTCAAGTTCAGGTCGAAATATTCGCGAGGACTTCACTACAGAGTCCTAGTTTACGGACGGCCCACCCTGAGAAGAGGTTTACTACGGTTACCTTAACGGCTATTTTTTTTTTAATAAACTCTCATATTAGTAATTCCTTTACGTTTGCATGTTTGATCATTTTAATTTTTTTTTGAAATTTTTTTGATATTGTTAGATAACTTATCGTGTGTAATAATGGGGTAAAGCTATGCTATATGCGTGTCCCAATAGAAAGATTTTCAACGATATGCGCTTCTATCACTACTCGCTTCGAATCCGCTCACTTAGAAATATATTTGTATATATTTTATTTGCATTATTATCTCGTCGGCTTTCATCCGAAGCAGCGTGTCGCACGAATTTTCGACACCGCGCAATAAATCTACAGATAGATTTACCACCGTTGTAATTTAGGACGTTAACCTTTTGCGTGTCCCGATAATACTGACAGAAATGGAAACGTCGTGACAGGGAATAGAGGTACTCCTCCGATAGTAAATATGTCCCCTCTCATTCTACATTCTGACAAAAAAGTAATAAAAATATAAGTGCAAGCAATTAGAGGTACGTTTTTTTCTAGTTTTACTACAATAACTAATTTTCTGTTTTGCCATAATTAAACGAGTATAAGCTCCTGCTTTGCGCATGATAATATAATAAATCCTACACACAGAGCATCCTCTAACTGATAGTACAATCAAGATGTTGATAAAAAAAAATAAATAAAAAATGTACAAAAATGTATAAAGATGTTTCCGATTTCAGCTTCGATGAGATTTAAAACTTTACAAATTAAAAATTAATAATAATGACAATGTAATAAAAAATAGTGGAATTAATATTGTTTCACAAATTAAAGATTCGGTTTTGCCGATAGGAGAGGTGGAAAGGGGGAGGAAATTGGGCAGAGGGGAAGTTTATTTTCGTTTCCGAATACGCGGTACCATGTAACCTATATATCCCTTGTGGGCCAAATTCCGAAAGCAAACTGACGTGACCGCAGCGATAAGCCCCCGTCGAGTTCCATGTGGAAAGGTGCGGGAACTTGACTCTTGACTCAGATTGGAAAAGCATAATGCGAGCCAACCCCCGGAAAGAGGAGAGGTGTACCATCCGCGGATTGCCTCCATCGATGAGTACGAAAGAAATATATTTTCCCTGCGTGCAGGAAATAATTACGTGGTCGAACATGCGAAACGATATCCGCCGTTCCTTCGGGCAATTACATGAAAAGAAAGTTTTGATCGGCTAGTGCGCGAGCACGAGCAACGATATTCGGAAGACGGAAGGATCGTCTGTTCATCAATTATCGGAATACGAAGACAGCTTCAATATCTACTCCTTATGCTCGAAATTGGATTTTATTTTTCTGAAAAACAATCGAAAACTTATTAAAAGATCATTTTTTTGTCGAGGGAGGAAAAAGGCAAATAGAATTAAAATTGTTAATTATTATTATCAATTAGCGCTAATTGTGTTCTATGAATATAAAAATGTTCTCATGTTCTATATATTCATTATGTTAATAAATATATGTATATTAAATGTACAGAGACGTATACCATAAAAACAATATTTATCATATAAATATTACCATATAAACAATATTTTTTCCTGTTTATTAGTCTAATCTCTAATAGCTGTCACGATCATTTCATTGAAAAAAAAAAAAAAATTATGCATTATGAATAGCATTTTCTACGTTTTATTTATCGTAACATACATAAAATTTCTAGAAAATTGTTTGAAATTTTCACGTCCTTTAAAACATATCAATTAATCAAACATATAAAATTAATCAAATTGAGAATCACCGAATCGAGCATTCTGTCCCCATTTACACTCGGCATCCAGGTAACATATTTCGATTCTTCTGAACTCGAACGTTCGCACCACGTTTACGTTGTCCGCCCTCGTTCGCCGCGTACGCGAGCGACTCCCTCGCCGGACACCCTCGCGTACGGCACCCCCGTCCCCATTGACTCGCGGCGCAAACGGGGACCGCGTTTAGGCGCCGCGCACGGCACGCGATCCCGCCACCCGCGGTGGGATCCCCAGGAAGAAAACGGCAGAAGCGTCGCGACGCCGATCCGTCGGCGGCGCCTCAGTGAAGTCCGGCCATCCGTAGCGAACGCAAGCGATCGCACCCCCGCTGTTAGGGGACGCTGTTGAGAAGCCTTGAGGAAACCGTATCGCCGCCTTACCGTCCTCCTACGTTGCCGAGAAAAGCGCTCGCTTCCGGTCCCCTTTCTTCCTCCCCGGCGGAAGAGCATCGAGACATCGATCTTACACAACATCGGAACACACTTTAAAAATGCCGCGGGTAAGTTACGTGACTTATGCTTTTTTTTCATATTATAATCAATGATTATTAAATATGTGCATAAAATTAATTATTAATAATGTTCAATATTTTTTTATTAACAAGGAAAGAATATTATAAAGTATTTTTCTGTTATATTCCGAAACTTCAACTAGATCAAGTTACTGAATTATCAAAGAGAAATTTGTTCGTTCGGTTTCGAATTTTATATATCCCTGCATTTAAAATAAAAAATATATGTGGACGTGAGCTTCAAGAGAAATATAAGAAAATGATTAGAAGTGCAATTAAAATCCATTTTTTATATTGTAATAAATGAATGTTCGATTTTATAAGTAAACATTGTTATAAGTATTAATGTTAAATCCTTTAATACTTTAAGAGTTGCATTCCACAGGAAATAAATAAAATGGTTCCATTTTTTTGTACAAATTATACAAATTTTTATTAATCATGCATGTTTATGTATTCGTTGATTTCATGAATATAATGTAGCACTTTATACTATAAATTTCCAATGGTTCTCAGCTGATCTGAAGTCTAAACTGATCTGAAGTCACCGAACTCTTGATTGGACATGAATTCCCGATATCTAATTACTTATACCGCTCTTATCGCGTAATTCATCGACGCTTCAAACAAGCGGTTAGACCTGTAAGGTTCAGTTAAACGCTCACGTAGAAATGAAATCGTTAGCAACATCGGTTAACTAGTTCCGCGCCAGCGAGTTGATTGACTCTTCTCATTATCCCGAAACCGCACAAACTCTAGTGGTATGGAGAAGAGATCCTATTACTATCCAATTCTCTCATGATTCAGCTGATATGGACGTAAAAGTTGATTAATTATAAAAGTTTATTAATGAATTATATACATATACACATACATACACACACACACACACACACACACACACACACACACACACACACACACACACACACACACACATATATATATATACTGATTATATTATAATTTTTATTATATATATATCTCCGACTCAGTATAGATATATAAATTTATGTGATTTATATATATATTTTTCATTGTCTACGCACGGAATTATTTACCGCATGATGTGCATGATGTGCAAAAGAATGAGCATTTATTGTATAATATAATGTATTAAAATAACCCTTATTTTTTTGTCTCTTTGGCAAAATAAAAAAAAGATTTTTATTTAAATTTAATTTGAAAGGGATTCAAACATTCAGAGTTTCTTCAAAAAGGAATGAAATAATTTCTTCCTAAATGAAGAAATGTGTTGCAATCAAGAAGTAATCGCAATAATTAATAAAAATTGCTTTGACGTCATACAAATTTATTTTCAATTCCGTTTAATGAAATTATAAATGTAAATTTAATGAAAATATAGAATCTTCTGGGTCCGGCTAATATGTATGGTAAAAGATATCCGTGTCCGTAAATCGAGAATGACCACTGGGCAGTTTCACAGACTATGACACATTCGTTACAAAGGGGAGTGTCGTAAAATCATAATCATCTATTCATGAACTGGGGTTCATTCTGTCACGTGTTGCACCCTCATTCACCGGTCACATGTCCGCTCCGTTACATGTGCTCTCGATAATCATAATGTGTACGAGATAAAAATGTAATGTGTACGTGATAAAAATGTATTCGGAAATATTTTTAATGCTAAATGCGAACGATGCAATTTGCATCATTGCATCATGCTGAAAATAAGCGCATCCACTTTCCTTTTTATTAAATTAATAAAGTAAAGTGTTTCAAGTGTTGAGGATTTCTTTTATTAGACAGAGGTACAATTTTTTTTTCAACAAATACAAATTTTTTTTCTTGCGATCATTATATCAGGGACTGTCGGCAAATAAGGATCTTTTAAACAACAGACCCCGAGCCGTGTTTCACTTTTCTGATGATAAGGCAAACGCACGACATATGCGTCACATATATTCACTCACGTGCGTGTGTACTCACTCACGTGCGTGTGTACTCACGCACGAAGTGCAAACTCGGTGCGCATTTCAATATGCGTACACACTCACGACGACGATGAAAAGTTCGATCGATAGGGTGATATACGCAACGGGGTACAATATCCTTTGTAACACTGTTTTTCCTCGAGGATCTCGCAGGACTCCAACGAGCCGATCTCATTGAAAGAAATCCCTTCGCGATCGGAATAAACTTTTATAAGTGCCGGATGCGTTTCGGTTTGAAGCAAATCGCAAAAAACGTTATCACATATCCGTGCGTTGCATAATTCCGAAAAACGCTGCGGTTTACAAATCACCGCGGGCAATGTTCATTACCGTTATATAATTGTATCAACTGCGCTGATGCAACATTTCGATCGGTACTTGTTAATAAACAAATATGCTTGATTTTCTATATATCAATATGTATATATGTTTATATTATTATGTCGTGTAATTCGCATGTTTTTATTTCTTTCAATTTCTTAGTTTCTTGTTCTTTGAGAATTTCTTGTTTTTATTTCTTGTTTTTAAGTGACATAGTTTGTGTGATATCATTTTAACACATTGGACTTCGAATACTAATCATTGGACATTGACCAGTAATTTCCGCGTGCGATTTCTTCTCTTTTTTTTTCACTCATCGTAGATTTCATGTCAAAATGTGGGACGAGATCGCGTCAATGGCTTAAGAAAATCCGTGAGTAAAACCGATTCTAAAGACGGTGAATAAAAATCAAAGATGTTAACAGAAGTGTTTCGAAATACTATCGGAAAATCAAAAAGCAGTTATCGTAAATACATTTTAATAACAAAATCACGTTTCACGCACGATGCAGCATTTTCCGTGATTTTTTATAATTTTTTTTTTCCCTCGGTATAACAAGGCGATAACGTGCCATTGGGAAATGTTATCGGGGAGTAACTATGAAGATTAGTTCTCTAAATGCGTCTCGCGATTTTATATTAATAGTTGATCTCTTAATAAAGTTTGCAACACATATACGATAACGAAATGTGAATTGGTGCAGTCTGCACACGATCACAAGGGCAACGATAGACCATCCCTTACGAAACCGCGTGACCGTGAATGTTCGCACGGCGATATGAATTCTCTCACGCTACGACGCGATTGTATAGACCATCGTCGGTAGTTTACGCATTATCTAAAACTACATTCGGAAACATCACTAAGGTGCTTCCGCGTTACTTTATCCTTGTTTAACATTCAGTGAACAACAAGGAAAAGATGATGCGCAGAGTCACTCGGGTCGTATTTCCGAACGTAGCCCTAGTTTCCCTATCGATTCATCGATCGACACAACATCGGAATCCGCATTTCCAACGCAACAGGCTACATGACTTTCGTCATAAAAAAAAAAAATCAACTTTCGCCGAAGGTGAAATTTCTCGGAATATATACGAATGATACCGCGTTCTCGACTTTGCCCGTCTCGACGGAAAGGGAAAGAGTAGAGGAGAAAAAAAGAAGAAGGAAGAAGATGAACATTAGAATGGACTCCCCTACTGGTAAAAACCCGTGCACAGTACTTCACAACGTGCTTATCATCGCGGGAGGAAGCGAGAGGATCGAGAGAAAGAGGGAAAAGGAGATATGGTCTCGCTGACCCACGAAGCCATAGTCTGCAAAAATTTACTTGTCAGATACAGACAGGCAGACACGGCTCGATCCGACGATGAGGTCTCAATGAGCGAGAACAGAAATTCCATGAATTAAAAAAAAAAAAAGAGAGAGAAGAAAAAGGAAAGGAAGATTCCGTGACAAACTTTCAACTACTTATTTTTCTCGCGTTGAACGGCCTTGCGGCGATCGAGCGGCTATCAAGCACGAGGGCCGCGAGTGACAGACTCAAAAATCGATGTTTTTGTGTATGCTTCTCCTTCCTCGCTATAAAAAAATGCTATTGCCTACGAGATATCGCTATCGATGCGTAATAAGTGAAGACGCCTCTCTCGCAACATTGGAGTCTGGGTCGTCATTGATACCGAAACGAAGTCTTGCACTTTGAGTCGGACATTTCCGCACTTCATTTGTCACTCGTGACAAATACGATTATCTGAAATTATATGTTGATCTCAAAGTCCAATGTTAAACTACGTTCCGCGCGGCACGTGCGCCTCCAATGAACCGCCGGGAGGTTTGGGAACATGTTTTATAATTGCGCGCATTTATGTCGGTCAGCGATATAATCCAGCGCCGAAAAAGAGATATCTCTGAATCATCCGTTTGGAATAATTTTACGTAGGAAAAAAAAAAATCACCGTCACAAAACGCCTTACTCGACATAAAGTCATTTCGAGATTCGAGATTTTGATTTTTATTTTCGCGAATCAGAATTAAATTGTTTTTTTTTTTTTCCAATATCACGCGAATCGAAGGAAACAACGTGTTCTTCTTTCCCTCGACTTTTCTGGGGAAATCGGATCCCTCTTTCTGGGCAAAGCGTTTAACTCGAGTACGGCGAGCCCGTGTCTAATTTTTGTCTTCTCTGACCGAAGGGAACCGAAGGGTCTCTAGTATCTGAGCGAATGGGAAGTAGAAGAAGCCCAAGCCACTACCAGGCACTGAATGGCACCAATCGATATATGCTCAACCTGGTCCGTCAGGATATCACCGGCGAGGACACCGCCGGCTTGACTTCCAAACGAAGACTTCCTACGATTTTAAGCTGTCACGATTACTTGAATGCATCGCTGCGAATCGGTTATAGTTTCCATTGATCGTTTCAACATAAATTCTTGAGTCGACTTGACTTTTTTGGTCGTTTAACAAATTCTGCGCGTTCATCCTAGATTGTAGTTTTCGCCGAGAGGCGTTCAGTAACCTGCCGATTATCAATCGCACGTCATCCTATTATCAGTTGCGTCATGGAGAGACGTAGATGCTAGACGTAGTTTCGAAATCATAGAAAGTTTTTACGATAAGGAGGGCGACCCAAAACAGAGGATGAAATCAATTTCAACTTTCGACTTTCGCTTTGTCTTAGATCTCATTAAAATTTTCTTGCGTCGACGGATTATTGCCGATTTCTTTAGAACGAAGCTGTCAAAGGGCGCGAAGGGTGAAACAGTCGATCAGCGATTTTATAGGGTTGATCACGCGGCATGGTTTCACGGCACATCTCAGCGGCCATTTATTAGCGCGATTGTACGCGGTTGCCAACACCCCATGAGAATTTAGCACCTGGACTAATAAACGCCGCGAGATAAACCGCAGGTCCGACTCATGCATCAACAGCACACCATTCCTCGCCGCCAACAACACATTCAAAACCGTTGTAATCATTACAGAGTAAAACTAGTACTGTCTTGACAAGAGATTATTATACGATCCATGCCTAATCATTGATGTAAAAAAAATTAAGAATATAATATCAATAAAAAGATAAAAAAACATGCATGCAAAAATTATTTTTTATCTTTTTATCAACATCCCTAATTGTTTTCGATGTTATAATAACATGACAAAATCAATAGACCTAACGCGAAATTCAATTAATTATAATATTATTTAATTTATGTAAAATAATACTAATTTTGTGATTTTTATCACCTTAACGAGCATGTAAAACTAAAAAAAGAAAATGTTAGGTATTATCTTGTTAATGTGTAGCTTATTCCAAAATAACACGGTCGAGATGAAAGATATAATGACGGAGACAAAACATAAAAAGTGTTTAGAACTTCTACTCCATCAATTTGTTTCGTCTTCGTGTACGATAATGGCACGATAATAACGTATTTTGATAGCAAAGACTGTCTTTGTACTGCAATCATTAAACAAGCTGACCTATCATAACTCTAAACGCGTTAAAATACATATCAGCGGTCGTGGGTTCAACTATTAGGAGGAGCTAATAAAGATCTACAAGCATAAAAGTTCATACCGGATAGATGCAGATTAATCGTGTTGTTTTACCAACTTAATTAGTTTTAATCTGCCCGTCAAAGTATCTCAACTGAGAAAATTATTACAGATTATTATTTCTGCAATCAGGGGTAATTGCGACGATAAGCTCGAGCGCGTCTCGTTAAAAAAATTCGCAAAAATATCAATTACAAAACTCTCTAAAGTAGATACGTCGAATGCATAGGAAATATTCAAATAATACTCTGAAGACAGATTGCTCATGGACAAAATCTTCGATTAAAGTTGATATGTAAAGTAGGATGCTTAAATTAATTTTTGTGAAATTAACGGAAAGAAATCACGCGTCTGTTGCAGCCAGTTTCGAAACTTCAATTATCGGCACGAGGACAGATGGACAGGCGGCGACCACCGTTTCTCAGAGCTTCTACTAAAGCTAAGGAGGTAAAAGAAAAAAAGAAAGATAAAATTATGAACGCAAATATCGATAATTGTATACGAAAACTAAAACTGCTGCTTCTTTAAAAATGTTATACAAAATAAAGAAAAAACAATTTCATTTTAATTGAAATATGATTAAATTAATTAAAATTTATTTTATTTCTGTTACTTCTGTATCATTATATGTCCAATTATATTATCATAAATTAATATATATAAAAACGTTCATGAATTCAATAATAAAAGATAGAATGATGTAATGTACATAAAATGTGTGCATACACAGTTTTGTGATTTAATATAAAACTTTGTAGTATAAAAAACACCGGTTTGTAATTAAATTAAATTTCTATAAATTTAAATTTATAAAATTTTCCTATTTTAATATTTGCTAATAAAAGTTTTACCTGTGTATCATTTTTATGCTGAAGCAGTTTATTACGTCAATGAATGTGACGTCACCATTGCTATGGCAACTCACAATAGATTCATAATAAACAGAATTCTAACCAAGTTTAAAGATGCACACGACTTCGTGCATGTTTTTGATACCATCCCTTTATATTTATTACATATTTATATAAATTATTAATATAATGTGTACTAATATTACATTAAAAATAATTGTTGATTTTAAATTAAAATTAATTATCATATTTTAATCATGTATAAAATTAAACATACAATTATATATAAAATAATTTAAAATAAAATGTACAATAAAATAAATTTTGTTAATAATAATATGATTTATCTTGTACGTAGTACACAGTTTTTCTCCTCTCTATTGCCTTTATACTGATCAATTAGTGAATAAAATTTAGCGTGTTAGTGTAATACAAAAGTGTTTTTAATTGAATAAAAATAGATATGAACTAGAAAATGACACGATATAGCGGTGTAAAGTGCAACAAAAAATTATGCATTTTGTAGACGGAACGAAGCAGTGGAAGTAAGATGGATTCTGCACGCAGCGGGGGTGTCATAGAAGAACAGTGTAGTGACGAAGATCTGTCACCAGAAGCTCTTGTCAGACAGAATTATGAGCTTCGTCATCGCTTGGAAGAGGAGACTGCGAGTTACAAAAGACGTTTGGACACATATCGGCAGGCTCAGCAACATCAAGCCGCTCTTGTCTCGCGATTACAAGCTAAGGCAAGTATCACAGATTTGTCTCATTAAGTGATTAAATCTAGCTGGTGCGCAAATTTATTAAAAAATTTGCCGATGATAAACAAATAATCTAATCAAATAAAATAATAAAGTAATGCATTATTTTTTCCAATAACGGATTAATAACGATGTCATATATGTTTATTAACGATAATGTAATTAAATTTTTGGATGATAATAAATGTAACAAATTTATATGAAACGAGCATGAAAGAGTTTTAAAGAAAAGACTTCTTCGAAAAATTAGGTTCGAAAAAATAATGGAAATAATGGAAATTGGAAAAATTCATTTTCTGAGTAACGATTATGAATTACTTTTCAAAAATAATTTTCTGAATCCTGCAATTAATAATAAAATTTGCTTCAGGTTCTGCAATATAAACAGAGATGTTCGGAACTGGAAAATCAAATGGCAGAAACGATTCCGTGCGATACCAGTAAACCAGCGACAGCCACAGTGTCATCCACCACCGTGCTGGAAGCTGCTCATCAGACACTTCGAGATGTGCGCGAGGAGCAGATTCACGACTTGGATACTGCCTTGAAAAAACTCGGAGAGGAACGGCGAAAGTACGTGAAAGCAGCAATACGAATTAAGCAATCGAATAAATATATTGATTCAGGCTGTATTTGAGAAAGATTTCTTTCTTTCTTTTCATAGATGTGAAGAACTTTTGCAATTAAACGCATCCCTGAAGGATCAACTCGAGGAGTCTCATCAGACGAACGAGGCGCTGACCAACGATTTGCAGAAATTAAGCAACGACTGGGATATTTTGAGAGAGGAATTGGCCATTAAGGAAGACGAATGGAAGGAAGAAGAACAGGCATTCAACGAATATTACATCTCTGAGCATAATCGATTACTGAATCTATGGCGCGACGTTGTCTCCGTTAAAAGACTGTTTGCGGAAATGAAATCTACCACGGAAAGGGATTTGTCGAAACTGCGAAACGAAATTATCTCGTCATCCAACGAGATGACATCGGCATGCAACAGTGCGAACTTTACCATGAAACTTCAAGCTACGGCTACAACGCAATCTACAGTAAGATCTTTTCATAATTAAATTGTTTTAAATTTGATAATTACGTTCTCTGTTTGAATATTTTGCATTGTACTTTTTACTTTTTACTTTTAGCCGGTCCCAGAGAATGCAACAACAGGAAGAAGCACAAGCTGTGACTGTTCTGAAAACAGAGATTACGGCACTCAAGCAACAGCAAGCTGCCAATCAGCATGAAATTCGTACCAAGGATGACCGAATAGATCAGCTTATTCGAGAAATTCGCAATTTAGTAAACATCAATTTGTCTCAAATGTAATTTGTATCGACTGAAAACGCGACGTATGTTTCCCAATGTGCAGGAGGAGAGATGCGGCGTTTCCGAGGCGGCGGTGGCTCAGACCGCGCGTATGCAGGAGGACATCGAGGTGTTGGAATCCGCGTTACGAGACATCGCGCATGCCGTGATTCAAGACGCCGAGAGTCGGGATGCGGATGCAAAGCAGACACCCTCGCATATTCACGTGTCCTCGAGCGGACCGAACCCGCAGAGATCGCCGAAGAGGAGCGCGCGAAGTAACATACCGGCGCTTGCCGAGAGCACTATAAGCGCAGTACGAGCAGCTCTGCAAAAATATCAATTAACGATACGCGAGTTACAGGTACCGGCGTCCGAAGAGAAAAGAAGATTTGCTTTACAGCACTTAGAAATTATGTTTTATTTATGCTGAATTTTTCGCAGATAAAGTCACAAACGAACAAGGAACAGATTTTAATGATGCGCAAACAGTGCGACACCGCAGAGGAAAACGCACAGGCGTTAAATGCAAGAGTTGCGGAATTGATCTCTCAGTTGGACGCATGCCGTTCGCAGTGCACACAACTGGGTCAAGAGAAGGAGATGCTGCAGAAGAGTCTCGATAATGTGAAATTGGAGAAAAATGCATTGGATAAAAATAAAGTGGAGCTTAACAGCACGGTAGGATTCGAACTATTTATCTTTTCTTATTAAAGATATAAGCATTACTTAATTTTTAGATGGAGGCTCTTAAAAATAACTATGAGAAACTTCAAAAAACTGTTAATAAATTACAAAAGCTGTGCGACAATCTGGAAGATGAAAAATTATATCTGCAGAATGAACTTAGCAGAGCGTCGGAAGATGTCGATTTAAAGTAAATAAATTAATAATTGTATCTTATACCATAATTTGATTTAATTCTCTTATAAATTATTATATATAAATGCATATTAAAACTATTTTTAGAGAATTAAGTTTACGATCAGAGGAAGATAGATGCAGTAAAATGAGAGAAGAAATTTTGACATTACGGGAGGATTTAAGTAAAGCTTACCTCGCTAAAGATATGTTGGAACAGCAGAAATTAGAAACTGACGGATTAATCTCTCAAATTGAGAAAAGCAAAGGTATTTCATGATGTTACTCAAATAATTGATATTTTGAATAAATTATTATATAAATGACTCATGTAAATGATTTATAGGTGATCTTGAGTTGGAACTCGAACGGATATTATTGGAAAAGTCAGACATACAGGAAATTTTAATGAAAATGGAAGCGATATGTTCTAATCATGAACAAGATAAACAAAGATTGCAAGAAGAATTGAAAAAAGTATGACTAATATTATTACTAGTAATATATATTTGATATATTGATATTATTATATAGATTTATTGTAGATGGCAGACGAGAAAAATAAGCTTGCAAGTCAGTGCATCGATCAACAGGGGGATCTGAATTCGTTGAGAAAGGAACTTCTGCAAGCCGAGCAAACTCGACTTGATTGTGAATCTGAAAAAGTTACGTTGAACGAAAAGATTAAATTTCTGGAAATAGAAAAGGAGAAGGTGGAAATGGAATTGGGTCAAATAACTCGCGAGCGCAGTGATTTGAGTAATCAGTTGTCGGTCCTGGCGCGAAAGAAGGAAACGTTAAACGAAGAGCTCATGAGACTCAGGCAAAGATTAGAACAATCCAACGAAATGAATGCGCGGATAAATAGGAACTTGAAAGATCTTGTGAAAGACAACGAGGAAAAACAGGCAAGAATCGATTATGATATATATTAACATTTTATTATCATTTTAACAGGTTTTTTTATATAAAAATTTTGTTATATAAAAACAATCAAATAATTTGTTTGTTTATGCAGGTACTCTTAGAAACAAACGAAAAGGAATTTCAAAGATTGCAAGAGCAGCTTGCGTCAATGCGCACTGAGAAAGAAATATTGGAAGGGGTATTGTTTGATACACAAACTAATTTGGAAGCCACGCATATCAAGAAAACACAGTTGGAAAAAGAGCAAAAAGAGATGTTAATAAAACAAGAGAGTTTGAAGGGACAAATAACGCGATTAACAAAGGAGCTGGAGAACAGTGAAAAACGTGCGCAGGATATCAAGCAATCACTTACGCAACAGAGTGGCGATCAAGTCGCAGAATTTCAACAAGTTATATCCAATATGAAGAGACAATCAGAAGATAGCATTAAAAAAATAAATGACGAAAAGGTATTTAATTATTTGTCGAATTTTTTTATTTTCTTCCTTGGTTATTTAATCAATAAATAAATTTTATGTTACTTCTATATTATTCGTCTTTATTCTCTTTTATCTTTAGGAGCAAATAAGAATAAGTTTAGAAAAGCGATTACAACAATCTTTATTGCAAATGGAGGGAGAGAAGAATGAAGAGATCAGTCAATTGCAATTGCGAATAGAAGAGTTGCAGCAACATATAGAGAATTTGTGTAAACAACATGAAGAAGCGCTTCTTAGAGCCGAGAATGATAAACAACAGGCACTTTTAATAGGTGCGCAAGTCAATATTATTAATTAAATAATATCTATAATAATATAATGTTACAAGATATATTTTAATAATATATTAATAAAAATATATTTGAATTTATATTATTAGCGCATCACGATCAACAGGCTTTAATTGAAAAGATTGATGCTATTATGCGTGAATTAGAAGAAGAAAAGAATACTTTAGAACGTGTTAAAAGAGAGGCCGCAGCACGCGCCGAGCAAGAACGTAATAATACGAATCAACTGCGTGACGAATTAAATCGTCTCAGAACAAAATTGGACGAGACGAAGTTGAGGGCTAATGAGGAGAAAATGAAACTTGACTTAAAGATAGAGGAGCTTTGGAAGGAACGTGAGTCCGCGCAGCGGGAGGTTGAAGAGCTGCAAGTTCAACTGCACATGATGGAGGATAAAGTAGACGGACTCCAAAATCAATTACACGATACTATCAGGAAACTCAAAGACGGTAATCAATTTTGTTTTCCAACCTGTTTTATTTTTCGATTTTAATTGTCATAATTAATTTATTATTGCAGCTGACAACGTTAATGAAACAATGCGCAAGGAGTTAGTGGATGTACGAAGGCAATTGGCGGATACCACATACGAAAAGGAAAAATACAATAACAGTAACAAGGAATTGCGGGAACACGTTAAGCAAATTGAGAGCGAAAGAAGGGAACAGGGAAGAACGTTGGAGGAATCATATCAGAAAATAGCAAGTGGGTATTATTTTCTCTTCTAGACGTTGGATGTTATACGTTCAATGAGTCAGAGCAATCATTAAAATGTTTGTGTTTAGCACTGGAAGACGCGAAAGCGTCCATGGATGTCGAGAGGACGCGTCTGCAAGCGCAGATACGCGACATGGAACGCGACGCGATGCAATTGCAGCAGCAACTCCGCTTCACGCAGGACGAGTTGCAAAAATGCCACGAGAACAATGCCCAGGCTCAGAACGAGGAGAAGGAATTGCAGGCCAGATTGGCTAACGAGACTGAGGAGAGAGAGCGATTACAACTGCAATTGCATCAAGTGAAGAAACAGGTGAAGAAATGCGAAGCTCTTTTCCACTCCAATCCTTTTACAATCGATATAACAAATTTCGTTGTCGCAGGTGGTCGATTTGGATAACAGTCTGGAAGTTACGCGACAAGAACTTGGAAAACTACGCGCTCGTGCGGATGAGGAAGATGAAAGATGGCGTGCCCGAGAGCAAGAGCTGTTGGTGCGGCTCGAAGACAGTCGCTGTCGCGAAAGAAAATTGGAAGATCAGAAACATAATCTGGAGGTTTGCTTGGCCGATGCCACGCAGCAACTTCAGGAGCTGAAGGTATTCTCAAAAGCGAGAATACCGGAGCTTGATTTGTGAGAAAAGATTAAAGATGTATTTTTAATCTCAGGCGCGTCTTGGAGGATCCGAAGGCAGGGTGAGAGCTCTCGACGCTCAACTATCGCAGCTGGAGACCGCTAAAAAAGAAGTGGAGCAGAAACTGAGCAGTGTAGGTTCCACGCTACGTCGTATCGCCGGTATCCAAATGGATGGAAGCGTCAACATGCCATTTAAATTGATGAGTCCTTCGAGAAGGTGGAGTCCGGCACGTGGTAAGTTGAATAAAATTTTTTATTTCGAATAATATAATACTGTTATCTTATATATAATACGCATTAATTAAGAAACGTATTATAATTAAGCGCAAGATCATGGTGACAGAGATATCATACTGGATGTCGATCCTGAAGCTGTCAGGAAAGGAGTTCGATCGCTTATGCAACAAGTAGCTCAAATCGAACGCGAGAGAGTATGTTTGATTTTGACGATTACGTACAATTGATTTAAATAAATTAATTTGTTATGTTAACTGTTATGACTATGATTTAATATTGGATGGAATAGGATGACTACAAAACGGAATTGTGCAGTTTTAAGAAGCAATTGAAGGAGTCGCAAGAAAGCCAGAGTAACACAGACGCAAAAGTCAACAATCTTCTGGCTAATATTCGAACGCTTCAGGAAGAGAAGAAATCTATGGAAGCGAAATTAATTCAAGCACAGACTGGTTATCAAGCACAGGTATTTCATTTTTCAAAATGTCTTCCATTGAAAAAAATGTATTCCATTGAAAATGGGAAAATTCATGTTTATATGTTTTCAGTTAGATGCGCTCCAACAAAAGACAAAGGAATGCGAACAATTATGTGAAAAACTTACAACCTTAGAAATAAAAATGACTACCGAATCGGATGAGAAATCTCAGTATGAGGTATAGTTTAGAAGAAATATTCTCACAATCGTTATATATATGTACAAGTCTCGAAGTGCATATGATTTTGCATTTGTTTAGGATAAACTAGAGAAAATGAAACAAGAATTGAACAGATTGGAAACGGAAAAGCGTAATCTTCAGAAAGAAGTCCGTCACAGCGACTCTCGTGCAACAGAAATGGAATTGCACAGAATGTCTCTAGACGGCGATCTTCAAGATTGCAAATGATGTTGCAAGAAAAAGAAGCATATATTCAGGTAAGTTCAAGATAAAAATATATGGATCGAAATATTAATTACAATGTGAGAATAATATTTTTTCAAGAATTTTTTTGTAATTTACATGTAAATTCCATGCTATACTTTTTAGAAGCTGCAAGACCGCTTTGACACGCAAAGTCGTACCATGGCAGGTTTAGAGGAACGATGCGCTTCGTTAAAATCTACTATAGAACAGTTAAAACTAGCATTAGAGAAAGCATCCGCCACGGAAAGTGAGCTCAAGAGTGAGATAAATTTATTACAACACAACATGATACAGATTACTGCTTCCTCTCAAAGTACTAACGAGAAGTTTAAGCAGGTAAAAGATCGTTTTACTGTTAACAGAACTTTTTTTCGCTGATCTACATAAATATATCTTATTTCAGTTGCAGAAACAGCTTTCAAATACTGAAAATGATCGTAGGATATTATCTGAACGTCTGGAAATGGCTCAGCAGACTTTGAACAATTTGAAACATACCAATCAGTCACTGATTGATCAAAATGCACGACTGCAGAATGAGCTAGCCAATAATGAAGTACAGCGATCGGCCTTAGAATCGCAATTAAGATTATCTACATGGCCGCCAGAAGGCAGCGCGACCAAAGACGAAGAATTATTGCGTCAATTGCAAACTGCTCAAAGAGAAAGAAGCGAGCTGAGAGGAAAAGTAGATGCTCTCAACGATAAGGTAAGTGTAAACGGCCGCGTTTTGTACACAAAATATTGTACAAATATCTTAAGCACTAATATTTGTACAAAAATAAAAAAATGACATATGTAAATTGAACTATTCATATTTATAAAATATATCTTTCTTTTTAGGTGAAGTTATTAGAAGCTGACAAACGTAATTTAGAGCGTCAGATCACCTCGAGCAAGACCGTTAGTACTCGAAGCAAGAGCTATGAACGCCCAGAGAAAGCACACATTGAACTTCTGGGCACTAGTTATAGCCTCGATCACTTGGAGCATGAAAACCGAGAATTGAGATTAAAAATACGCAAATTAGAGACTCAATTAGCGGAGAAGGAGGCCGAACTTATACGCATGAAATCAACGTATATCCATTCTTCACATTCGTTATTGGATACAAGTCGAGATAGAAGCGAATTAGAACGGATCAGAGCCGCGCAATTGCAAGCTGAAAAATTATTGGAGGCAAGAGAGCAGAGCCATCGTCAACAAGTATCGCGTTTGGAAAATCAGGTATGTATTAAATATATAAATATTTAAAAATTACATTTTAATTACACTGGAAACATAAAAGTGAAAAAGAAGAAAAGGAAAACAGGCATTTCTGGTAATATTAATAATAGAAAGCTTATTAAATTTATATAACTCCAAAAAGTAATTGTTACGCAAAAAAAACAATTTTGCTGAAATACTTACAAATTTGGATAGATATAAATCTGAAATCTTTTGTTATGCCATTAAAATAATTATGTAGAATATTTAAACATGATGATAATGCTACAAAAATTTTTTATATTTTAATAATCAATTTAAATGTAATTATTTGAAATATGAATATAATTATTTGATGATAACTTAAGAAACAAGTGCTTCTAAATTTATATCTGGCAAATTTTAAGATACTTTAGCAAAATTGTGCTTTCTGCATTAAAATTCAATGACCGAGAATACATAT